GTTATTTTTTTCCTCTTGCTAAGTCATTCAAGGTGTTCAGTTTCTTGCATTGAGTCGTGCTTTGGTCCGTCAGACCGATAAAAAAATAAAAATAAAATCAAGAAAAATGTTTGAAACAACACTAGAAATGCATACAACACTGTAAATACAATATACTCCATTTATGCAAACATATGGAAATCATTTAACTAAAGGCAATTGATGGATCATGAAAAAAAAATCGAATGTATGCCCCCCACATAAAAAAAAAAATCATAAACCGTTGCATGCACTCAATTGCTTATGTAACTTTAAGCTGTGCATCTGTGCACTTTGTTCTCTCCCTTTATCTCAATTAGCTTTGCATTGTTACAGCTGGTGTTCTTCTATCTCTTCTGACAATGTGTATTAAAAAAAAACAAGAAAAACATGCAATACTGCTTAGCGATTACATGTCCTATTTTTCAGCTGTGGCATGCTTTTCTTTTAATACTGAAAATGTTTTCTGTCCTCTTTTTTTTCTAATTTGTCTTGTGAAAGCGTATTGCTCAAATGTTCTGTTACTTTCTCCTGACCTGCAGTGCCGAGACCCTTCAGTCGACCAGTATGGAACAGTAGCAAAGACAACGCAGCCGGATTGTGCTTGTCTTTATATGTATGCCACTCTATTTCCCTTAGTTAGATTACTTGCTGATATTAAGGCTTCTGCATAACCTGCTACGTAGAATCGAGCTCGAGCATACCCGATCTCAGCCCTCACCCACTCCTACGCTGCCTCCTCTGGCTCCAGTCCTGATCGTAACCTGCAGAGGCGCGGGGAATAATTAGGAGAGAATACTACAGCTGACACCATTTCTGAAAGCGGGGTATTGTAATGAGTGCAGAGCAGGTAGTCATTGTGTCTGATGGAGCGATTGAAAGCCACTTGGTTTTCAGGCTGCCTGGGAGAAGCCTTGCGGAGCTTTGCTGGTCCCTTAATGCACGTGGGAGCCGAGCCTTGGGAGGTTGAACCAGAGGTGTCTCCAACAATGGCAGCAGCCAAGGTTATAGCTGAGTAACCCATTCAAACTGCTTTAAAGTGACACAGCCCTCATCACTTTTGTCTCTGCCAATATGGCTGCTTCTCACTCTCTCCCTCTCTTTCACTTACTCTCGGCTGTTCTACTCATTATTAAATGTGAGGAATGCGATGAGCCACTGATCAAAATTGAGCCTCATTAAAGTTGTGCAGACTGAGTCACTGCTTTGGAACGCTTTCGCTTATCAAGATAGAGGATGAGCAGGTTTAATTACATTGTGTCTCACCTGCAATAGTGTTTGTTTTTATATTCTCAAAAACAGAAACAGAAAGAGGGTAGCCGTGCACACACGGTGTGTTCGGCAGTGTGCGTCATTGGCCAGTGAGTTGTGTGAATGTAATTCAGTGCATGCAAACGCTGATTGGGCAAAGTGTGTTTTCACAACATTTTATTTTGTGTGAAGTTCTTTATGTACCTACCGTCGTCCCAATCATGAAGGTAGCGTCAGACCGTTAAATCGTGCACCGGATGATGCTGTGCGCAAACAGGAAAGGAGCGTGTTTGCTGCCTAAATGTTGCTGACTTCACAGTGCTTGATGAGTCTGCCTTGATTAAATGTGGAAGGTCCTATCCAATGTTAACTATGCTTGCTCATACTCAAATAAACACCGAACGTGATCTTGGAAGCACCTTCATTACTTGTTCATTTTTCTCATAAAATACAATGCAAAGTTCACTGACACTGGCTGAACTGAGTCAGTCCAATTTTTATTTATTTTTTAAACAGTGTAACACTCAGTATTTTGAGTATTATCCATTTAAATTGATCAATCATCATGGATGTACGTAGAGGTGTGGTGAATGTACTCTTTTCTGGAGGAAGTGTTATGTTAAAAAGTACAGCCGTTGTTTCTACTTCTCCATTATTACACTGAACATCTCATCTCATGAAAGTTGGCTGTGCCAAAAATACGTTTGAGGCCCACTTAAAAAATATTTTCCGGTCTTCAAATTCTTGTTTGCGTTTAGCTTGCCAAATCTAAATGGCTGATATTTGTTTTTATTTGAGAAGGTTGTTGTGTGAACATTGTGTAAGCTTTTGTGACCTTTTTCCGTTCTAAAGAGCCTCCACAAAAAATACAACTTATAGCCAAGTTAACATATTTTTTTCAGAAACATATTTTACCCCACCCCTCCCAAAAATGTATTTTTGCTGCAATACAGATGTAGGTGAACAATTACTCCCATTTTCGCCTTTTAGGTGTAATTGTTGCATTTTAAGGCTTTCATAAGATACTGTACTTTATTTAAAAATGGAAAGTGACAGAATTTGGATGGAGGAGTCTTTCTATATCAGGCTACATTAACCTGGATTATTCTGTAACTGAAGTATTGATCCCCCGCCCTCAGGTGGCCACAACATTTTATAAGGGAGGATCATAGAGCAAGGAGTCCATAAAATCACATGATAGGATGAAATAAATTGGGACCGTAGTCTTTTCCAAAATGAAATAGCGTTTTTTTCATAAGACTCCAGGGCTGCACTTTTAATGTGTTAGGCATACACAATTTATGAATCTGCTGAGATAGCAATGAAATTCATCTTCAATTAGGAATTGAAGTGACATCCAAACTGCGTCATCTTCGTTGGTGGGGGTTAATTAAACCGAGGCTGTCGAAAACCTGACACAAAACCAAGTGTGAATGCCCAACTATCACAGTTAATGTGACCCCCCCTCCCCCCACCCCCGATTAAAAGCTGTATTTCTCACTGGGCTCCCATCCCACCCACATTTCTTATTTGTGTCCTTCAGACGTGTACCCATATGGTACACGATGTACCTGTTGAACTCATTCCTGGAAACAGGTAAATTAAATCCGTTCTCCGGGTATGTCAGTCATTTGGCCATCTTTTGTTGTATTTATGGACACTGAGGACACATTCCCAGACTCATTAGAAGTACACGGCGCATCGGGGAGAGAAGGAGGAAGGGAGGAGCTCGGAGATGGAAATTGAAGCTATCACTTTGAATCATTTTCTCCAGCTAGCGAGATGACGCGCACAGCCTCATGTTGTTGCTATCTGGTTTCCCAAGGTGCTCGTAGGCTAGAGATCAAGAACGCTTGGTAGTGATGAGAAATGTCTCAGGAGCACAGACTCCTGCGGGAACACTACAAACTGGAACACTGCATTATTACCTTTCCCTAACCTGACACGTGATAGGAAAAAATAAATAAATGAACAGTTGTCCTTACATAGAGAACCTGCTGCCCTCTCTCTCTCTCTCTCTCTCTCTCTCTCTCTCTGTGTGTGTGTGTTAGGAATGTATTGATGCTTAGTCTTTTTTTGGGTGTTTTTTTTCCTGCTTCTACCTGCTTCTTGCCTTGACCAATCTCATAACAAGTGCACACATATGATCAAATAATGTAGCTTTTTGAAAAGCAGCCAGTGGGAAAAAAAAAACCTACAGGCATAACACAAGGTGATATTCACAATTTGGAAATACTCTAGTTAGGCTCATGTCAACCCTTTTACCCTTTTTTTCCCTCCTTTCCTTTAGCAAGATTGTACACTTCCAAATGGCAAATCTATTTCAATTTGATGTATTTTATTTATACTATCCATAGCTCGATAATGTTTTGTACATGAGCTTGTTATGCATTGTGACAGCCTCTTCTTTAGTCCTGTGGTTTCTAATTTATATGTATTGCTTGAAACATTGTTATTACTATGCAAATAACTCTACCTGGTTATTGCAGTCATGTTTGTGTGGACAGTTTCTAAATTCCAAACTCGTAGCCGGTGCTCCCTCAGCTCTCTACCGTGTTAAGTAGCTACCATTGTCACTAGAGAAATCCTTCTCCATATCCACATCACTGTCAGATGCGTGTTACTTTTTCAAAAAGCCATCAGACTCTGTCTCTGTCAACCGGTTGTCCCTCACTCCATTAAAGATGATTGATATAGCCTGAAAACCCTTCGCCCAGCTGTTGACTCATCCTTGAGAAATTGAAAAGAACTGAGATAAAGGACCCCCATCACCAAATAAATACCTTTTGTCTTCACACTGTCCACTAGTACACTTTGGAATATAGTGTATTTTAATTCAAAGGTAGTTTTGAGTCTCAATGGTGATTACCATGTATGAGATGTTTCAGTTGTCTTTTTTTTTTTTTTTTTTAAACCTTTGATGAATAAGGGCAATCCTCTGCTCAGGTCAACTGGACAAAAAACAAATAGGGGAAAAAAAGACACTTTTGTTTGTCCATTTGTCATTGTTCTTCCTCTTGGCTTTGTTATCCTCTAATGGCTTGTGAGGATTTCTGCAGGACAACTTGAGACGGATTTTATGATGTTTCGGCGTGATTGATAACATGCTCTTGGAGGGATGTCAGGCTTTCAGAGTAGGATAATGTGGATTTCTATCTCTCTGCCTTCTTCTGTAAGACGCGCCATCAATCAGCAGCAATCGCGGCCTTAACCCGGTAAAATTAAAACCTTGCGGGGGGGTCGGGCCTGTGTTTTCCATGGAATCAGGACACACATCAGAAGGGAGCGCGACAGAATCGGAACACTGATCCACATCACACCAGGCCCACTGCCACAGAGAAGAGGACAGATATAAGATTCCCAGCATGGGGCAGAAAATACAGTTAATGATCTGATTGTAGATGGCTGTTGACAAGGGAGAGGGATTACAGGAAGAACAGTCTCATTTTCACTGTGTGCGGAGACGTTATTAGATCCTAGCCCAGCTAATTTAATTCCAAGGCCTGTCAATATTTACCAGCAACAAGGGCTCTGCACTCCGGCAGACTCTCTTTCTTTGAGAATGCCGAGCAAAGGAAATGATTTGACACCGAGATGAAAAGATCAAAATTCCCCTTGTGTCTATGTCTCAACATAGAGGCTCTGGTCTTGGATATGTCATAAGCATGTTTTGCTTTTTTTTTTTTTAATATGAATGTCTCGACTCAGTACTGTCTGTCTGTGTTTTTCAGTCGATGGCTGCATACACAAAGCTGCAGGTTCCTGTCTCTACGATGAGTGTCAAACACTAAATGGCTGTGAAACCGGCAAAGCCAAGATCACCTGCGGCTATGATCTCCCTGCAAGATGTGAGTACCAGTAATTAATGCCTTCCTTTAGCTCAGTGTGTGCGCGCGCTTACGTGCTCGTGTGCTACTCCTTCCTACTGCATTCGCACACAGATATAATGCAATGTGGCCTCGTCGTCCACTCGCAGGTCACAAAAGTCATATGAATCAAACTTAAATGTTGTTCTTAACCTCAACAATATGATTGTTATAGTTCTAAATAGCAATGGGGTAGAATTGTACTGCATTCTCATGACCGTTGAGTACCATCATTTGTCAAGATTAAAATGTATCTGTCTATATTACCCCCCCCCCCCCCAAAAAAAAATATTTGTACTCATGTGTACGGTTCCCCCATTTGCTGGTATCGACGCTCAAAAAAATATCCTTAGTATTACCTTGCATCATAATGTCAACACTGGCAAGGTTTCCTTGAAGCCTTCATGGCTTTGCATGATGTCCCCCCCCCCCCCCGCCTAAAAAAATAAAATAAATAAATAAGAAAAAAGGCCCAAATATGCGTCGACTTCGAAGATCACCAAGCAGTATAAAAATGTGGAAGCGAAAAACACTTGCATACTTCTTGGCCTATGGGGAAGCCACTTTTATACAAAAGAACTCAACGTTGAAGACATGTTTGTGTTTAATTGTGGGGTGAACAAAGGGAGTCGTAGGAGGTGTATCATGTGGCACTTTGCCGAACATATTTCCTGAAAACTACACGCAGCTTGTAGGATGAACACCGAAATCACGAGGAAAGCCCAGCACACCGAAAACATACATTTGGACCACAGTAATTGGTTTATAGTTCCATGGAGGAATGGACTATCATATTGAAATGAAAGTACTTTTTTTTTTTTTTTTTTTACAAACCCTAGGAGCCGGTAAATGTGAGAAATATTTGTAGTTTTAATGTATTTGTGTATAATACTATTCCTCTATTTTGTATTATTCTTTTATTTATATTCAGGTTATTCCCAAAATGATATCTTTTAATTGATTCACAATATTAGAAACACGTCCCCACGTAGTTCACGGCAACATGCATCCACAGTAGTGTTAGACAAAAAACAAAAATGTAAAAAGAAAACTTGAGCATGATTAACATTTTGATCCTGTCTTGCCCTGGAACTCATTAGAATGTTCAGGAGAACCTAATGAAGTGTCAGGTGGGTGTATATTGTTTCTTAACGAAAGTGTTGTGATACTGCATATTAGCTCGAGGTCCCTTCACGAGCAAGGTTGATCATTTTTGTGTTTTAATAACAAATGTTAGCACTAGAACAGGTCATGTTGCTGTTAGTGTGTGTGTGCGTGTGTGCGTGCGTGCGTGCGTGCGTGCGTGTGTGCGCGCGCGAGCGTGAGTCTCAGGTTGAATAAATGAGAAATTTGGGATAAGGCTTGAGAAGATGAAAACAAATTATGCCCATCATACACACTGGCTGTGCCCACACCTCCACATGAGAGTGTGCAATTTAATAATGCAGTGGAGAGGGGGGAAAAAAAGATACACTTTTAATTAGGATGTATTAGTTTTAAAAAGTCATCTGTATACATCAGGAGTGTTATGCTCGAAAATGATTATGATGGTACTCGTATGGCTGAATGAGAGCATCATCGATACACAGACGGGCCTTTTGTTGTTTGTTTGATTGATTCTTTTTTCATCCCTCATTTATTCTCTTGCCGAAGCACACAACTTTCACTGTCACACCGTAACAATGATAAGATGAACTTGGTTGGGACCATTAGTTTTTATCTCTCCCTGTGATGTACCATTTTGTGTGCCTGTGAGTTTTCTGCCACTTTCGGATATGAGCTAATTTCGTTTGGTAATTGTTGAGGCCGTGCGACTCTTAAAGGGGGAGACATGAGTGCAATTCAGTTGAGACGAGCGTCCCACCGGTCCTAACCTAACCCTGAAGGATTTCCATGAGACAGCCGAGAGAAGAGATGGAGGCCCAGATGAAATTATGTTGTAAAGGATGTCAAACAAATGGAGTAGATAAACTGTGACTTTGTCGTTTTGGGGCAGTCAGATCAAGAGACACCAAAACAGGGGGCACCCATGACAGTTTAATAAGCCGTAATGTCACCCGGGAGCAATCGCATTGCGACTGGGTACTCTTATTGTAATTATCTCAGGGTAAAATGCCTCCTCTGCGCTGAAAAGTTATTATGGATTGCTCATCTTCTTCACTGGGAACACTCAGTCCAATTTTGAACCTAAGTGGAGTTCATTTTAAAGCCTCAATCTTACCCGGAGTTGTTGAAATGTTTGTATCTGCACTAATCGGAGTCATCATCTTGTAATCTTTTTTTATTTCTCTTCTTAGAAATCAGCTTCTCATTTTGAGAATAGCATTTGCGTGCTCACAAATCATTTTGTTTTCATTCATTTGCATTGCTGTCATAATTATCCCACCTACACTAAACACACACAAATACACATTATGAAGCCTCTACTTTTCTGAATTCCAAAACCGTAGTATGTCCACCCTCTCACAACTTAATAAACTACAAAGCAACCGAGGGAAACGTTTTGTTTCTTCCTTCATTTTGCAACAAGGCGTATCAGAGGTTACAGAAGAGGACAATGGCACTTCTGTGAATATCACAGTTTTCATTGTTGTTGGTCATGACCATGTGGTTAACACAAAATGCATGCAAATGATGGAGGAAAATAAAAAAGTATAAACCTCTGTACGGCTAAAATGATCACTTTAATGAATACTTGCCTGCCATTATTCAGCATTGATGGGCCATTCACATAATGATGATGGCTGATGTTAACAGAAACTTTTGAAAAGAACACTTAGGTTCAAGTCAATAAAATCCTTTATTCACCAGTCGTTTCGACCTGGAACTCCCATTTCCAGGATTTCACAATTTCTCTTTAACAATATAGGGTACGTCTTGCAACAAGTATTGCAACCTTTTTTGGGGAACCCCTCTGTCGTTGTCACTCCATTGTTAGTCCCGCCATTATTGCAGAGTAAATAGTTTAATCAAATGTGGCAAGGCTTTATAATGTGCTTCCACGTGACTGAAAGCCTCATTAAATGAAAATTCAGCCTCCATCAAGAGCTCAGCCACTTAACTTCATGCTGCATTAATGTGTGTGTATATATATATAAATTGAGTGTGCATATATGCATATAACTGGTACTGTATAGTATTTTTTTCGTGTGTGTGTTGAGTGCAACTACTAGATGCCCACAGAGACAGCACTGAAATCACAGTATTCCGTGTTTGGAGATGTGATGGTCTGAGGAAATGAAAAATGGCCGTCGTCATCCACCCCATTTTGAGCTTTCTCCCAAGACAAGAAAATTGGTCCCCCTTACATCCCGCTAAGCAGTTTCGGCTGTGAATCCCACTGGCAAATGAGCCTTCCCTTTAGGAGGGCCGAGCACATGTGGGACAGATTATTATGACGGGGCTGGCCAGGGATTATTAATCATTGACAGTAATTACACACCTACCATAGCGGAAAGACACCCAAAAACTATCTGTTACGTCAAATTGACAAGGAAATTGTTCATTTACCCTGATTCTAGACAAGTTATTCATCAATTCATAGATTAGGATTAAATGAAAATGCAGTGTCAATTGGTGCCTGCCACCGTACATTTTCATGAGTCGGCTTCTGAGGATTTGATATTTTGTACTATTATATAAAACATTAACAGCATATTTGTGCTGGCTGGTGTCATGGTGATGATGCGTGATGAATCAGCCGTAGTCTTGCAGTCAGAACCTTTTGTTTTTAGATTAATTTTTGTGCTTGTCCATTCCAAAGATGTTAAGCAGAGACCTTGAGGGCTCATCTTCACTTGCACTTTCCCACGCCAGATGCTCCTCTAAACCTGGGTTCCACCAATATATAGTTTTAAAATTAAGCAGAGCTCTGTTGGACCATTTACTATTAATACCAGTTGAGTAAAACCTCATTTAACCGAAATTAAATTGCGTTCAACCTGATACAGTATTTTCTCGGGGGGGGGGGGTGATTGTCAATGTTGAAAAAAATAAATAAAATTAATCATGCAATGAAATATACAGTATAATGTATAGGCTACCATGCTACACTACTGTCAAGCCCCCGTGTGCTTCCCCCCCGATTAAACATTTGGCAGCTTGGTTTGCGAGTGTGCGCACATAGAATGTTGTTGGTGGTTTTTTTTTTTGGTCGTTTGTTTTTTGTTTTTTGTTTTTTTTGTCAAGGTTCATTCGACGTTGCAAAGACATTTGCAAGACACTCGCAAACAATTTTTTTCTTTTCGCCATCAAATGTTGAGAGCCCTAATGGGTTTGTGGCGTTCACCGCATGGACATGTGGACCTTCACCTCTCAGATCTGTTTTGAAATTGTTCCTAGCTAGCAAAACATCACTTGATTTTGCTTGGCTACATTATAATGGCTTGACGGAGAATCTTAAATGTTTCCTCGTTTGAAAAGAACTTGCTAACCAATTAATGGAGCAAATAAGAAGACAAGAAGACAGACAACAGCACGGTGAAAAAGAAATGTACTGTTTGGCAAGAACTGCCTGACTGTTATAACAGCTCGACCAGAGTGGAAGAGAAAAGAGACGTCGCTCAGTGAAAGCTTACTGGAAAAGCCGCACCGACGCTCCAGCTGCTTTTGTGTCACTGCCCTGTATGGCGCTTGATTCAGTCTTCCTGCTCAGCTCCAAAACTGTTAAATGAACCAATGTCTCACCCAAAATTCTTCTTCATCATCAAATTCAAGAGGATCGAGCCTGTCTCTGAATTTTCTTTCTGTATTTTTGCTGTATATGCCTAAAAAAATGCAGCCCTTGTTAAAGTGAAAGCATCCCAACTGTCACTTTGAAATGAAAGTTAAAGTTCAAAGTTGTGGTGCAACTGAATTTGAATTTTTAGTTTTAAAGTGAAATCTTGTTTGTGCAATTCGGCTTTCATTCGAATGTTACATAATATGCTTCGAAAGTGAAGAGCACAAAGGAACTTTGAAGAAGATGCTGTTTTTGTTTGTTC